GACTTTGTGTGGACGGGGCCTATGTCCTCCAGCAGTCTAAGCCTATAGCAGCAAAGGCTGCTATAGGATATTTCATCCCAGCGTTGTGTGTCCCGAACCCACAACATTATCAGTGACCACTCACACCCCCACAATGGGCTGTTCTCCCTGCTGTCCTGTGGGAAGAGGCTTTGCAGCATTCATTTTATTTCAAGCAGATTCCAAAACATGTTTTTTTCTCCCAGAATGCTTAAATTTGATCAGGAAAAATGGAAATGTCATGAGAGCTGTACAAAACAACATTTAGTTCTTGTGTATACAAAATGACAATAAATGTTGTCTAAGTCTAATCATAATTATAGAGATAGTGCAGGATAACCTGAGCCACAGTGACTATAAGCTTTGTGAAAAAGGAAATTAAGCCTAGCTTTAAAAGTAGACAGGGTGTCTGCCTCACGGACCAAAACTCGTGGTTGGTTCCACAGGAGAGGAGCCTGATAACTAAATGATGATATTTATTTATCATTATTCGTTAACAATTTAAAGTTCTCAATACTACTCTTAAAAAGTTACAAAATAATGTTATTAATCACAGCCTGCTTCAATACTATGGAGTGAATTTTGTTCCATTATTGTTGTAAGCAAAGAGGATGTTATGTTCATAAAAATGTGAATAAAAATTTACAAATTTGTAAATTCAAGTTAAACATTTTTACCCAGAAATATTTTTTTTCTCCATGAAATTATGTTTAAAAAATATGTGTAAAGGTCCTTATAGAAGAGTGTTTCATCATTCTTGTGATAGACTAATTCCATTAACTCACTGGCTGGATATTCTCATGCAACACACCTGTTTCCTGAACTCCACATTGGATTTGTTGAGACACTGCAGTCATTCTGGTATCAAGTAGGAGGACATCTGCTTATAACAGCTGAAGCTTCGCTGAAACTGGGTCAGGCGAGAAATGAAGAATGTTTGTTGAGGAAAGTGGGCTGAAATTCTTCCACAGTGTTAGGAGGGATTCATTAAGGAATACAGACCATGAGTATCGAGAATTATTGCTGCTGTAGTTGGTTCAACAATCTGTTAAACTGTAAGGTGTTCTTGCTCTTTTTGCTGTTTTTGTTGGACTTCATCTTTGTTTAATTAATACTGAAAGTGATGAATCTGCTGTGTTTGTGTGTTTTTGCTATTAAAATGGTTTTAAAACCTGATGAAAACAAGATTATTTTCTTTATGTTCAAATGAAGTCTTGAACTGAGAGAGAATACTTTCTTTTCAGATCAATAGTATATTAATTTCCATCTCTTTTGAAAATATGTCTTTAAAAGCCCATTTTTAACATAGTTTCTATGTTTTTTTTTCTTTTAACTCTTATTTCTTACCTTGTAAGCAATATGAATTGTTGTGAAATTTGTAAATTCACAAATTCCCATAAATACTGTGTAGAATTCAAATTTAATTTGTATCAATCTTGCTTATGCCAGGTTAGAATGTGATCAGAATTATTGGAAGCAACACTGAGAAAATAGTCTGTGTGTTTGTTACTTTGAGGCTGGACTATTGTAATTCTTTACTATAAAAGTCCATTAAATACATTTAAATGCCTTCATCTGATCTAAAAATCTGCAGCAAGAGTTATGATGAAAATTAAAAACAGAGATCATATTTCTTTTATTTTAAGCTTCCCTTTGTTAGTTTCCTGTCAAATCCAAATCCTCCTTTTCACATATAAATGGTCCCAAACTAACTAAGCGCCATCTTATGTCAGAGGTCTTACTGTTCCTCATGTTCTTAACAGAACACTTCACTTAAGAAAATTGTGGTTCCTAGAATTTCTAAAAGTTGAATTGGGGTCAGATCTTTTAGTCATCGATCTCTTCTCCTGTGGAACCTGCTGCCGGTT